GAAAGAAAAGAAATGGATTTCTTTCTCCAGAAAATCTATACCTGAAAAAGACTGTAGAATAAATTAGCTGAAAATTTATGGTAAAAAAAAACAAAACAAAAAATAAACATGTTTAACAGTCTTGGCAATTCTTGATGATGATGACACTTCTTAAAGTTATAGAATATAAACCAAAATGACTAAAATACTAATTAGGGTTGAACAGTCATAAGTTATGTAATAGTGATTGATCTGATTGGTTAAATTAAAGATAATGGTACCTTGAGTTTTTGGTTCTTCTTCTGTCTTTTCAGGAAGTTGGCAATCATGGCTCTCCACAATTTCCTGTCCTTTGTAGCTCTTAATAAATTTTATCTTTTTATTATCTCTCCTAAACCCTGTAATGCCATCCATTTACTCAATTGATAGGTTATATCCCACTTGTCTTCAATCTGTCCTGTGAATATCAAATTTTCAGGCCCTTTGTTGCTCATTATGTAGCCTAGTAATTTTAACTGTCTCTTTCGGATATTAAGTATAAGTGTCCTTTTTGTTTCCATTTTCTCGAAAACTTTCTTGTTGTTCAGTTTCAGTCCATGATATTCTCAGCACCCTTCTGTAGAAGCACGTTTCTGTTGCTTCGAGTCTCTTCTTCATCTTTGAGAAGATTGTCCAGCATTCACTGACATATAAGTGTAATGATATTATATAACAGTTCAGTACTCTCTTCTTTGCTTCTAACAAAATTTCTCTGTTTCTTAATACTTTGCTTAGCTTTGTGGTTTCTAATCCATATTTGATCCCAATTCATATATATATATATATATATATATACACACACACACACAGTGTGATGAGTAAATTATCACCATTTTATATTTTTAATTTTGTGCATGCGCATTGTTTTTGATTTTGTTGACTGCACAGTGTAGTAGAATCAGTTGGACAGCATCTGTGAGAAAAAGAGCTCTATAGTGCAATTCAGTTTTCCAGAAAATGCTGTACTGCTTGGCATTCATGCTAGAAGCTCCAATATGAACATTTCAGAGTGTTTGTGTGTCAATCTGAGGACAGTGCAGAGGATTTGGAAAGAGTTGGACGAGTCTAATAGTGATTACAAAGGTGTTTAGAGTGATCACTAATGATAGTGACATTATGCCTCCATTCATCTTCCCACAGGGCCTCAAACTTGACACGGACGCCAACATCAAGTGCCTTGAGGAATTAATGCTGCCCTAGATCAAGAGGGTGTCTGTTGGAAGACCCTATGTCTGGCAACAGGCACCTACACCATGCCACACATGCCTGTCAGACAAATTCTGTGACCACATCACCCCTTAGATCAGGCCACCTAACACCCTTGATTATTATGTGTGAGGTGCAGTTGAGTGAGAGACCAACAAAACTCCTTTTAACACCAAAGATGAAATAAAGGCAAAGATTATGGCAGCATTCAGCATCTTAAACAAGGAAACCATTTAGAAGAATTGCTGGAGATTCTGAAGTCATCTGTAGGCCGTGGTTGAAGCCAATGGTGATTTTATTGACTAAATTTACTCTTTAGTATTTCAAGATATTTTTGTGTAATTTTGATAAATATATCTTAAAATGAGATGTCAGTGTTATTCCATTTTTGCATAATTTAGATAACAATTTATGGTACTATATATATATATATATATATATATATATATATATATATATATATATATATATTATTATTAGTCTATTTTTTAATATAAGAGATTATAATAAAAAAATTTTTATAATACTCATAATAAAAATATAATAATAATGTATTGCTCTACTTTGTATTGAGCACATTTTTAATTAACTATGAACTGTAGATTTTTACTTCATTTGTTCTTTCTCTTATTTGGAGATTATAATATAATATATATATATATATATATATATATATATATATATATATACACACACACAGACACTCTTCTTCATTTTGATAGTACCTCCCATTTCTTACCTGTTTAGTTCTACCTGGCAGATGTTCCTATTTATTTAGGGTAAATAAACTGACTAGAGTTTATGTGGGTATAAAAAGATGAGTTTAAATATACTGTGACACAGTTGTATAAAGAACAGATCACCGCAGGAGTAGAGATAAAATTGGCAGGGGGGCACTAGTTGAAGGAGGATGATATTTCCATGGGAAGAATACGCATGTACCTATACACATTGGTTTCTGAATTATTCTCAAAATTAAACTTTGTATTCAAGTTGGTTCAGATTTATAGACATTTTTCCAACAAATATTTATAGACACTCATACATCGGAGCTGGGGTCTGTATATATGCAAATAATGACTTTCATGTTATTGTGTAATCTTCCATCTGACTTGTGTTCTGAAAAATATTCCAGAAACACAAATCTATATTTTATTGAGTAGTTATATTTTGTCTCTTTAAAAGTCTTGCATCAATTTTTCTGTGACTGAAATTGTTCAAATTAAATCCAACAATCGGTTTTTATTCAATCGTCGTCAGTTTTTCTTGACAGAATTTTCTGCACATTACAAAAGTTCACAGTGCTTTTGACTCTAAAAGTAAAAAGCCTCTGTTGAAAGTGTAAGACAAGTTAGGTGAATTTCTATTCAAGTAAAGCACATTTGCTTGTCATACAATAAAAACAAATATAGTCATTTTCATTATAAATTTAATCTTCTGTAGTGACCCAGAAATGTGACCTTTTGTTCTAAATTAAGCCAAGTAAATTAATTGAAATTAAGATATTTTTGCTTGATGTCCTATTAATGATCTACTATGCATATCATTTTCTGTAACATCTGTCAGTTATTTTGAATCAATGTCAAGAACAAACTGGAAGTCATGGTTGGTCACTGCCCACCTGGAATTTGATTTTAAGTATGTTAAAGCTCTGCCATTTCTTATGGCATTGAGCACTCTTTTTTGCAGTGTGCAAACTCTGGCATTCTTTTGGAAGCTGTTATATATATATATATATATATATATATATATATATATGAGAAAGAACAGTAAGATATATAATCTGGTGTTCTTATTAATATTTTTATTTTTACAAAACAGTGCTCAATGCAAAAATAAATATAAGCATAAATATTATAAATTAACAGATTGAAAATATGATTCCATCGCTACACTCCTGTATAGTGATGAAACCATATTTTTAATTTACCATGTTTCAAAAACACAAGCTATAAACTTCAAATTCAATTATAGAATTAAATTAAAGTCCCTAGTTCTTTCATTTTCAACCAAATTTTGGAATAACTTATTTTGGAATTTACTGAGTTTTATAAACACATACATTCATAATATTAGTTTCTAAGGATACAGGGAAATCCAATCATTTTAACAAGGGGTGGTAGGGTATTATTTTTCACTGACAACTATTGTATCAACATATTAGTTACTTTTAAAAAAGATGTTTAGTCAAGGTAGGGTAAGGGTGCCTTTTCAAACGAATGATGACATCCGTTTAACGCATGTCGTCTGGTCTTTTTCAATGACAAAGTTTTTCAGTACTTTTGTTTCTCCGTTAACTTTGTACTTGTATACATAAAGATTTTTTTCTAAAAGGGTTGTTTGTATATGAATATGTCATATTGAACTACAATTTTAAAATATTATTCTTAATTTTAATAATAGACTATGCATCTTTTAAATCAAAAATTTTCCTTAACTAATGTTTTTAAAAAAAAAAAAAAAAATAAAAACTGATAAATGAAATATACACATTTATATTTGATATTTAAATAATAATTTTTAAATAATTTAAGTAATTCTATTACATTTATTTGTTTTGAAAGATGTATAGTCTATTATTAAAATTAAGAATAATTTAAAATTGTGGTTCAATATGACGTATTCATATACAAACAACCCTTTTGGAAAAATCTTTATGTATCCAAGTACAAATCTGACGGCAAAACAAAAGTGCTGAAAAACTTTGTCATTGAAAAAGACCAGATGACATGCATTGAACGGATGTCATCATTTGTTTGAAAAGCCAGCCCTACCCTACTATGACTTAACCTCTTTTCGAAAATAACTAATATGTTGATACAATAGTTGTCAGTGAAAAATAATACCCTACTGCTCCTTGTTAAAATGATTGGATTTCTCCATACCCATAGAAACTAATATTATGAATGTATGTGCTTATAAAACTCAGTAAATTTCAAAATAAGTTATTCTAAAATTTGGTTGAAAATGAAACAGAACTAGGGACTTTAATTTAATTCTATAATTGAATTTGAAGTTTTTAGCTTCTGTTTTTGAAACATGGTAATTCCTGTGTAGCGATGGAACCATATTTTTAAATAAGTAAATTTATTCTACATACATATATGTTATATAAAAAATTATTCCTATGTTAATAGATCACTACACATCACGATCAAGGTAGTCATTAGCTGAATGGACTAAGACTGAATGACATCATCAAAATTGATTATGATATATTGTGTTTATCCCTGTTTACTAAAATAAATTTTCAAGTTTAAATAGACTACTTTGTCTTTTCATTGAGTATTTTAGTGTGAAAATTGAACAGCCTAAAAGTAAAAGTAATTGTCTGTTTTAATTTTTTTAAGAAAAAAATGGTCCATGGACTGAAAAAGGTTGAGAAGCACTTGTGTAGAAGATAGTCATTTGTTAAAACATGAACTTAATATTTTACTTTTTGTTTCAGAAATGCTGGTTTGCCATTTCATTAGTAAAAAATAAAAACAGAAATCTCATCCTCAAAATTTGTTCTGATTCTAATTTGCTAAGTTTTCTTTCTGTTCAAAAGATTCAGTCCATTCTAAACTCTCTCTCTCTCTCTCCAAGTTGTAACCCATAATTATTTTTTTATTTCTTCCATTTTATTTTTTTTTAATAATGTCTGTAGTATAGGTAATTATTAAATATCTAAAAAGAACAAAAGTATTTATTGGTAACAAATACAAATACCTTGATCCAAACTATAAGAAATTGAATATGTTTAAAATTTATTTTACTTTCTTCATCTTTTTCAGGTTTTTGACAGCGAGGGATCGTTTCTGTCATACGTGAACACGTCAGCAGACCCCTTGTATGGACCTCAGGGACTTACAGTGACTACTGACGGTTTTTGTGCCGTTGCAGATTCAGGCAACCATTGTTTCAAGATTTACAAGTACCTCCAATGATGTGACGAACCTTGTGGTAGTCCTTCTTTCAAATAATTGGGCCATGAAACAAAAAAACCAAAAAAAACTCAAAACAAAAAGAAACCTACCCACCGCCTTCATCTACAAAACTAGGTACCCCCAGCCCTGTATTAAATATATGTAATCAAAGGAAAAACTCAATACATCATTAAAGAGTTTGGTAATGATTTATTTCAGACAGACAACTGCCTTGTCAGACCAGAGTTATAAAATGGTCCCTTTTATAATTCCAGTCTGATGAGGCAGTTGTCTGAAATAAATCATTACCGGACTCTTTAATTATGTATTGAGTTTTTCCTTTGATGCCTATCAGATTGCTCTGTATTTTGATACATTGAGCTCTCTTCATGGATCTATCTTTTTAATATTTTATATTAAAAAGACCTATTTGGATTATCCTTACCACTTACGGATTTGATATTATGAGATATATATATATGTTTTCTGTAATTATTTATGTTGTGAATGCTGGAAAATTAGCTCCCTATTTTTAAATTTGTATGTATAAAAATGTAAGTATTAATTCATAAGTTATTCCTTTATTTTATTGGTAGTATTTATATAAATTACTATGAATCTATATATAATTTGTCTAAAGTTTAAAAATAGAGGGTTAATTTTCAGACATTTTATATATAAGGGGTGCTTAAAAAATAACTTTTTTTTTTAACAAAAAAAAACTCTTTCAATTGATAAATTATAAATTGAATGTTACATAGGGAGTTTTATGTATGAGTGAATGAATGTCCTTGCATAAAATTGTATTTTAATTTAATATTGATTTTTCTCTTGGATGAAAGATAATGTCCTTTCTCTTGTTCACCATCCCCACCTCCTCTTTTTGTAAAAAGATAATGCTTGTAATTGGACAAGTGGTTTATTCTATGCTAAGTAATTGAAAAAGATATTGCTAAGCTGGGACCTTTTGTGAATTCAATTAAAGTTAGATGTTGAAGGAAATTGATGGCTAACATTATTAAACATATTCTTATTTATATAATTGTGTTTATATATATAAATAAATAAATGTCTGTAAAATTCTAGTTACAGTCTAATATTTTATTTTATTTTGAATTACTAAGTTGTCACCAATTAAGAAAGAAGTAATTAAAATACTATTTTTCATTTTAGTGTTACTGGAAATATCTTCCCAATTATAAAATCGCCAGTATGAATAGTGGGTCAACTTAATTCACTAAAATCAATAAGAATTTGAGCACATCAAAATAATCATTAAAATACAAGTTCCAAGAGCCACTAAAAGTAGAGGGTTACTGAATGAGGTTGCAAGGGTATTCAAGGAGTGATAGATAACCTCTTCAAGTCTAGGGGTAACCATTAAGTTTGTAATGATCAGGGAAGCATCCTCGTGGGAGTCTTTTCCACAAAGCAACAGTACATAACAATAAATTACATATGAAAGAATTAAGGGGTGATTGTAAAGATTTGTGGCCTGTAATTTGATTGTTTTCAGTCTTGTATTATTTTTTTTTTAACCAAATATGCATGCATTTACACACCAATAAAAATCTATAAATTATTTTGACACTAAAATGATAATAGTTTCTTTATATTAATAGAAATTAGTCATTTGGACTAATGTCCTTATTGTTATTTTCACAACATTTTGACTGTTGTGCCCTCTGGTCTTCTTCAGCTGTTTGTTACTCCAGATAATGTTCAGGGAAATTTGAACTGAGCCCCTTTATAATTCCTGATGAAGGTCAGAAAGTGTCATGGCTGAAACATGATAAAAACAACAAAAATGAGGACAACAGTACAAATGTAAATAATGACAACTCCTCATCCCAGAAATTCAGACAAAAATTAAACTGAATGAACCCCCATAGAAAGAGTAATCTTTGCTTGTCATGTGTCCTCTGGTGATCCTTTAGTGTCTGTCGTGTACTGAGAGAGAGCATTGTGTATTTCCGTTTCCTGTTATGTTTCGTTTCTGCACTTGCTTGATAACATTCCATATGTCAACAAACACCTGAGGAAGACAGAAGAGTAAATGGACGAAGTATTGTAAAAAAACAAAAACAATTAGTCCATACTAGATGCTTAAATCACCTCCTTGAAGAGAATTCAGAAAGAACAGGAATTATCTTTGACACTTTCCTATTTAGATTTCTTTTCATATATAGTTAAATATTTATCAATTTTTTTTTCCAGAATCATATTCATATATGATTCTATATATGACATATTTAGATTCCAAAATCATATTTTTCCAGATAATGATGAAAAATAATTGATTTCTCTAAGTTTCAGGTCTTCAAATGTCAGCAGACAAAACTAAAAAAGTAAAATGGTCAGTTTTAAAACATTCATTACATTCCAAAACAAAACTTATTTGAAATGGTAAAAATATAAAAAAATTGAAGATGGCATCAAAGTAAAGATTATTCTATTTTGCAAAGCTGACTTGATAAATCTCTTTAGCAATTATTGGAAAGATTAAACGAGGAGGAAAAACACTTTAACCTTTAAGTATGATTATCCAAGGGACGTAACTCATATTTTGTTTTATGAATGATTTAAGAAATCCGTTACAAAGCTTACTTTAATACATGATACACACTGAGATGCTTAATCAACGGTGTCAAATATTTTGCTGTAGATTAAATGGTAAATTTATGCAGAATAATATCTGATTGGTTTGAATTTCACTAGTTGTGAATTTAAATCCCATTCTTGTAAAATAGTTTCATTCAAGCACTTATTCCAATCACTTTGTAATTAAATTAAAGGCAACAGTTTATATATCTTTTTAGATGAATGTCTGATTTGAGAGATGACACCTTGGAAGACAGTTTTTCTTACATACACTACTATATCTAGTGTGAATATATTTTGCTGCATTTTTCAAAAGAAATGTTATATCCTAGATATGAAAGCATTTGATTTAAAGCATGCTTATTCATTTTATCTAAAGGAAATCTCAAGTAAATTAAACAAAGGCAGATATGTTTGAGTTTTATCTAGAATAATAACTACACTGCACACTCCCACCAATTTAACAGAAGAATACATTTTTTAGGCTTTTGATATTTCTATTTGTCTTAAAAGCTTGTAACTTTGTCACCTTTTAAAAGGAGTCACCCAAATATTAAGGAGTTGTTGTTGTCATCAAGTGTTAATCTGTAATCAATAATATATTTTACAAGCACAGAGCTATAGGCTACATGTTAATTACTGTCTTGTCAACAATAGGAAAATTGTATCTGGTATGAAATATAGATACAACACAGCTTTAAAATGTTTATAAACCTTAAATTATTTACATAAAGAGCTCCATCTTTTCATTGAATGAAAAGCTCATGTAAAAATAACAAAAGTAAAATTTTTGTGGGGGGAGATAATCCTTGTTCATAAAATGGAATTGACAAACAGAATTTTAATAAAAACTACTTACATCACTATTAAACTAATAGGAAGACATGAAAGTAATTTACCCTGCATTCTATTCCATCCTTTAGATATCATAATTTCATCACTTGATGCCAAGATAGGAAGTTGAGAACGAGATATCCTCTTAATTTCTTGTAGAAAAATGGTTACTATATCCTTTGTCAGTTTTGAAAATAGGAAGTTAGTTTATGGTAAACAGCTGATTGTCTTTACTTCACTTACATCATTAGGACTAAGCATAATTCTGGTTTACCATTTGTTCCATAGATTTGTGTTTTTGCCATTTTCTGTTAAGTAAGAAATAACTTTTGATTTTTTGAAGTACATATCCAATACACTCTGTTGTTAACAAATGACTTGTGTCTTCTGTCTTACTCCTCTTCAGGCTTTGACCATTGCCTCCAGAATGAAGCTGTCCTGAAAATGTGATTGAGCCTTAAAGCTCAACATTCATCTTCCACTTTATTAGATGCTTGGCACTCTGCTGAATAAAAAGATGTAGGAGGTGATGTAGAAATGAGTGTACACTCCCCTTCTTTTTAGACTAGTATTTTTAAAAGTTGTAAAATACAACAGACACATTGGCTGGCTATAGAGTAACCTTAGATGAACATTAAAAGCAGGGAATTCTAACCATTTTATTAGATAATTTCTCTATTTTCAAAAAAGTATAAATAGTCTATTTTTGGGATAAATATTTTCATCTAATTTTGAATGGGTGTCAATTAGTTTGAAAATGAAATCAAGAGACTTGTTGTAAACATTAGAAAACATGATTGAATGTTTTGTAGATATTTTAATGTTACTTGTTACTGAAAGAAAGAGAAAAGATGTTTATTCTGTAATATTAAAAACAAAAGTATAAAACAAAGGAGGTAATGTTTTTTTCAGTTTTTGTTGATTATATAGATGTATCTTTCTTTAATTCAGTTATCTAATTCTTAGAAGTTTGGTCAATTTGTAAAGCTTTTAACCAAATATTTATTTTCAAGTCCCGTGCCTATTGCTAACACTGCAAAGTATAAGACATAAAAAAAGCAAATTTAAAAAAAAAAAAGAAAAAAGTTAGATCAATATTTTTATTGTTCATTTTCTGCTGGCATTTGACATTTTTACAGTTTTTAAAGAAATCTAAGCTTTTTTGGAAACTTTGGCAATTGTATGGCTTAAGAAAACTCCATTCTATAATTTCTTTTAAAAGTTTAACTTAAATAAATCAAAATAAAATCTGGTTTACTCATACCTTGTTGCATGTGTTGCTCTCTTAATCTTAAAAATCAAAAATGAAAAGACAAATTAATTCTTTATAAAACAACAAAAATAATTTTGTAATGTAGAAATTACAAAAAAATTTTTTGTCTGGGACAATTGTGCAATTATTTTCTCAGAAGTTGCTGTTGCTTTATTTACTTAAAAGTTAAAAAAAAAATGTTTCAAATATTTGTAGAGATGAAAAGAAATCTGTTAAAAGATGGTTGATCCTAATATTGCAGTTGTCTCCCCTGCTTTTATAAGTCGATACACTTGTCTCCCTGTTTGTGTGCGCGACACTTGTTCGTGTCTGT